AACACCAGACTTTTTCAAGAAATGTTTGGTTCTAACATCCAGGTATTTTTGTACTAATGGCCCATATAGAGACCAGAGAGCCTTCAAACCACCCACAATGAAGAGCTCAGTCCCCACAATAAAAAATTATCTTGTCTAAAACATCAGTTGTGGCAACATTACAAAATACTGGCCTGGAATATGGTATGTTGTCAACAAAAGTACCTTGAAGCTGAGTGAAAATTTATGATTACATGTAAAGAGCAGTTAGGATCTGATGGAGAGTATGTCCTATGAATCAATGTCTTGGGCTTTATGCTTCCCTAATTCCCATTTATAGAATATTCTATTTATTAAGAAATGGTGACCTATCTATCTCTCTCAATATAATAATGTGTCAGTTATGTTATTCATTAATTTGAAGCATTACATAAATCCACACTATTTGTGTATATTCCTTCCCTACCTCATGTTTTAGAGGTTATTAATAAGTCAAGAGACTATTTATTACTGAATATTACTCAAGAGACAGAAGTTTGTAGTCTCAGCTGTATATAACATTCATATTCATAAGTCATTAGTGTAAATTATCAGATTCAAAGCTTCTCTTCCCTACAATATCTGTAGAGCATCATATAGATGATATCTAGTACCTCTTTGGTTCTTATTTTTTGAATATTTCATACCTTTTATTACTCCTTTTCCTGGTCTCCTATATGCTCACTTTCTTATTTGACTTATATGTGGCTCAGCTATTACCTTTATTCTTCACACATGCTTGCATATGTCAGGTGCATCCCTCAGTACTGGAAAGGGTTTTAGCTGAGCATATTCTATACAAATAGTCCTAGCACAGCTTCCATTGATTGTGTCTTGCTGAGACTCACCTAGGGCTGTCATAAAATTTCAGTTGCTTCCATTCTCATTTTTCTCTCTGCAAATGGCTGCCCTTAAGGTGTGCAGCCTGTGCTGCTCCACGTTGTCCTTTCCTCATTAGCTGTCACTGTGTTCCAATGCTTTTATGGGCCCTTACACCTTGTTTTATCTTTAATCTTGGGCTTTTCGCTTCTAATTGGGGAAGTCTTTTACTCTTCCCTTGCTCAAGGCTTGTCTTTTATTTGTTGCTTTTATTTATTGCTGGTCAAGTCAAATTTGTAAGTATAATGATTAATTTCAGATATATATATGTATGTAGATATATATCTGGCCTAATTAATGGTTTTTCTTTATGAGATACTTATATTCAGATCGTGCTGGGAGAGGAGACATTCTTAATTGTCACATATGTTTTGCATTGTTTAGAAAACTCAACTCAATTTCTGCTGTATATTTGAATTTTTCACCTGATGTTCATTTTAACACTATGCTCTTACTGATCCAGAAGGAAATCAGGAAAAGAAGCGATGAAATGACTGCAGTGTCCTCAGTCACTGAGGAAAAAGCCAGGGCTGCCCATTGTGCCTTCCTGTGTTCACTCCAGACTGCCAAGGCCACTGGCAACAATGTATGTGTGATTTCTGAGAAAGGGAACCCAAAAGACAGCATGTGCTACCTTTCCATCCAACATCTCCTTTTCATTTTCTCAGCAAAATGTTTGAAATATTGTGCAATAAATAACTGTATTTCTTTGGGCCTTTCTTGCCAACGGTATCTATTATAGATGGCAAATAGAAGACCATTGTAAGAATGAGTAGCAGCAAACACTAGTATTTTTAGGAAGATTAATCACTTTAGACAAAGCAATCTGTACACCATTTTTGTAAATGTTCACAAATCAAGTGCTCTGAGGTTTCCTCAGCCTCCACTGTGTTACTTCACCCAGGAATCTGCTTCTCACTGGACTTCAGTTTCCTTTCTTGCCACTATCTTCTGTAGTGTAGAGAAAAACATTTAGTCGTTAAAAAAACATAAACAAAACAAGAACACAAAACATGAACCCAAATCTAGACAGTAAAATTTCAATAAATTTGTATCAATATAACTTGTTTTCTAGAAGTAGTCATTATGTAAATATCACTATCTCAAAACCCTTACAGAGATCCTCGTGGTCTATAGAACACAGTTCATGTTCCTTAGGAACATAACTTACCTCTCCCCTCAATTTTCCAATGCTCTCATCTTCATGACTCTCTTCTTTTCACTCTTATGATCCACATTGGACTTAGCTGTCAGTTACTTGTTTCTCATTTCTGGGGCTCCAGGCTCCTTTCACTTTTGGCTTAGAACTCTCTTTTTCTCTTAGGCTAACCTTTCCTCGTCTGGCATCAGGGTTCTGTTCTGGACCCATGGCTTTGTGAAGACTTCCTCTTCTTCCCCTAACAATCATTTAAAATGAACTAGCACTTCTTCTTCCACCTATTGCATTATACTTCAGATTTACGTAATATTTATTACTTTTTATAACAAGTGGGTTCATCATACATCTGTTCCTATGTAAAGGCTTTGCTTGATCTCTGTGTCCTTTATTTATTGCTGCATTGTGCTCAGCTAGTGAAAAACCTTGGCATAGTGATATATTAACATGAAATACACTTCACTCTTGTCCTTTAGCAGCCTTCATGCCCAACTGTTACATATGTGGCCACTTCTATTTTATTTCTATTTCTGTGTCTATGTATCCAGTTTTGAATAGGTTCCACATATAAGTGAGATCATGTGGTATTTTTCTTTTTGTGTTGGGCTTTCTTTACTTATCCCAAAACACATAGCTACTTCTTTTAATGTCTTTTAAGACCCTAATCTTTCACTTAACTATAAAATTTAACTTCAATTTCTCTCCTTTGTATCTCAAAATGTGGATTATAATTATTCATGTCTTATCCTTCATCGCTTATCTTATAAAAACTACTACATTTTACGTCTTATTCTTTTGACCATGATCCTGATCCTATTGGATCTTGTGCCATCCATGTATTTCTACTTCTTAGGAGTACTTCAACTCTTACTCTCCATTGACCTCTTTTTTCTAAACTACAAGTCTTTGTTCTATATCCACGCTCCTATGGTTCTCATTGCATCTGTGCACATGGTCACCACCTCATAGATCTCCTTATCTTTTCTTCTGTATGTCTCAGAAGAGCCATATATATGTGTTGCTTTTCATTATTGACAAATTACTTCTTAATTATTTGAAGTGTAGAAAGTGGTTAAATTGATGATAATATTTTGTGTCACCAAATCACTTCCCTGTTTCCATCCTATTGCACATCTTTGTAGTATTATTACTGTTGACCCCACCTGCTAGTGACCCTGTACTCCTTCCTTATACTCTGTAGTTGATCCTCTTTCTATTTGTTCTACCAACACTTGAATTCTATTCTTGGGCCATTTCTTTTCTTACTTGTTACTCTTTCCCTAGGTTAGTTCATTTCCTCCTTTAGAGAAAAAAATCAGTTATACTTTTGACTTCTTCTTTGAATATAAAATTGAATTCACACCCTCTAGCTATTCCAAACTGATCATGATTGACTCCATTTATCACAACATTAATTCAGTATCCCCTTTCTAATTTCAGCTTGTTTTTATATCTTGCTTTATAACACGTCTAAGTTTTCAATCAGCCAGGCATAGTGTATGCATCTATTTCCCAAATTTTTCACATTTCTCATATTTTAATAAGATTGCCTTTTCATTGCCTAAGATGCCCACTACCATTCTTCTACTTGAGTTTATCATGTCTGTCCTAGACTACTGTAATAATATCACATAGCCACCTCATAAGTTACTTTTACTAGGTAGTCTAAGTTATTGTCACAAAGTCGTAAAATACAAAAGACTTTATACTTTTTCATTTCAAATTTCTAATATCTTTTTCTGTTTATTTCCTGTGAATTGTGTCCCACTACATACCTGAAACTTACAGGTATCCATGACCTGACTCCATGAAATCTCTGTAAGAGTAACATGTACTTTATATCCTCTGTCTGCCCTCTTGTTGGTATACTGCTCTTCAGTTTTATTTACTTCTTTCAGTTGAATATGTAATTCTTATTTAATCGCATCTCAAAATTCTAGTCCTTCTTTAAGGTCCAACTAAATTAACAGCTTCTTCTATTCCCTGTCAACACCTAGCACAAATGCCCCATTTCTCCTAGGCATGAATACATTCTGTGTATTGAAAGAGTTAAATTTCCTAACAAAATCTTAGTAGGATTAAAACATGAGCTCTAGGGCTTACATTTTCCATTAAGAAGCAATACAATTTTGAGAAAATTTCTTAAAATTTTGTCTCACTTTCCTTGATGTAAATAAGGAGAAAAATGCTACCTCAAAATCTTGTGAAAATTATACAAGATGTCCACAAAGTGCTTAGTGCCTAATGTAGATAAAATTTTTTAAAATAGCTATTGTTATTATTCTTATTGGAATATAAAAGGTTAATATTCATCAGGTAGGTCTGGGAATTTAGCTCAGTGGTGCCTCTGCCTGCCTCGCAAGCACAAGTTCCCAAGTTCAATCTCCGGTACAAATAAATAAAAAAATAATTAAATAAATATCAGGTAAATGAATGCACAGGACACTTTGCAAAATTTGTGACAGTTTTACTGAAAATTTTGCCTTCTCCAGTCATGCGTAGTCCTTCTCTAACTTGTTCCATTTCAGTTAAAAGTTTATTCTCTTGTCTATGAAATATTAGTTTGAATTGAATGATTTAATTTTCCCAAGTCTGATACTCCTAGGAGCTAAGCAACTTGCCCCCTGACTACTTACGACCTGGTTAGTTTCTCTGCTGTGGATAAACCACTGACTACTCCAGGTAACATGGACTAAGGCTTTTGTGAAGCCCTATGCTTGTCTGGTGTCCACACAGAATTGCCCCACAAATGAGGTCTAACACTTCTCTAAACCCTAGCAGACTTAATGTGTCCATCAGAACTTAGGGACGGGGGCAAAGTGTCACTGACCTCCAGCAATTATTTTAAGTTATTGGAGAAATACATTTCCTCAAAGTTTGCTTCATCAACTCATGAATTGCGACCTTGTTACAAGAATCCCCAGAATTTCTGGGGACAGATAAATGACAGAAATCACTTTGTCCTCATGTGAACTTCTTAGAATTGAAGCTCACCACTGAGTTTGTTTCAAACCACAATATTAGCATGTCATTAAATTCAGTATATATAACCACAAAAGGAGAGAGACCATCATCTACTCATCTCTACCTTCACTTCTTGTCCTCCACTTTGGAAAAAGGTAAGAATTTCAGATATAAACTTAATGTGAATTTATTCCAAGCTAGATTGAGCTATGGAAAGAACATAATGGTTAAAATATAATATTTGAAATAAAATAATTAAGGAAGAGTTGAGACTGTGTTCAACAATTATGTTTAAAATGGAATTTTTTAGAAGGGTTTGATAAAAATTGTAATAACTCTACGGACTTCATGAGTCTAATGAAATGTAGAACTAGTTTTATGTATATATACATATATATTATTTCCAGGCTAGTTCCTAGGTTAAGAGATTGACATAGACCTCTGAATTGTCTTCCAATTTGATTCAATATATCCCAGCTACAAAAGAAAACACAATAAAATTGCAGTATTGGGAGATGAATATTTATTGGGAAAGCTTTATCCAACAGGGAGTTATAGTGGTAGCATACTGAATAAAAAAATAGTATGGTTTGGGATGCATACTTTCTCATAAGTTTATAAATAATGCTTTAGAAGAAGAATGTATATATATTTGTCCAGAATCTACTTCCCAGTTTACAATCTAGTTTATAATATTTCAAAATAATATTAAAATGGAGATGACCTGAAAATATTGAACTATTATAAAAATAAATAAAGTGTTCCATTTCAGAAGTGATAACTTGGAAACAAAAAAACCCAACAATTAACCAAAAAGAAAAGAAGAGATTTGTGAAGGAAAAGTAGCTTATAGAGTATCAGTCAGTAATGAAATTCTGGCTTAAAAATTGATCTGTAAAATACTAAGAATAAAATGTAAAAAATGTAGCAAGATTTTCTGTACATGCAATAATCTATAGAATCTTAGGATATTAAATTTTTTCGAACCCTGACAAAAATTATTTAGAAACTTCTGAAGGCCTTAGGCAAAGTAAAATTGTAAATAATTATAAAAATGCATTAGGAAATTCTGAAAAATTTTTTTCTCTACATAATCATTTCAAACTCTAAATAACATGGGATATTTTGAAGATGAATTAGAAATGTTTTTATGAATTATTTTTAGTTCAGAAATTTAGTTTAAAAATATGATAATGAAGACTGTCAAATTATACTGTGGCATAAACATTATTTTTTGAGATAAATTATATAAAATTCAATGAGGAAGTCTTGTTTTGGTCAGAAGTGTTAGAGGTACCCCAAGTGTGAGAGGTGAGTTTAGAGAATGTGACCTTTGGTTAAATTATCACAGGGTCAGGCAGCATATTTAAATAGATAGAAGAGAAGCACAATAGTGTGCAATCTTCAGAGTCATGAGGCATGCAGGGGACGACATATCATTAGATGTGTAAGGAGGTGTGACTGAGAAAACAAGCCTATCAGCCCAAGAAAGTTTCTGGATAGTGAAGCAAACAAATGAAATGTTAAAATAAAGATCTCATTCTTACCAGAAATGAAAAGATAGGATTAAACTAAATTTCATGACAATTATTTGGTTTAACAAAAATGACAGAAAAATGTTTCTACACATTATTTGGTCAGTTTCTCCAGTAGGACTGAGGCTTCCTCAGGTCTGACACCTTAATATTTTGTTCACTCTTCTATCCTTAGTATTTAGGCAGTGTTTAACAATTAAGGTAACATATATATATTTTAGAACACATTAATATTTTTCTATAAATATTTATAATTTCTTAGTACCTTTCAAAAAGCACAATACTGAGAATAAAATTTTTAAAAAATTAAAAAGTGGAAGACTGCTAAAAAAATTTAAATGACTACCAAGAAAGTTCAATATTTAGGAGTAGGAATGACATTTTATTTCTCTTTAGTCATATAATAGTTCTATTAATGTTTTCCAAAATGTAGGCATTTTTGTAACATTATCTTTGATTTTGTTAAAAGACAAAGTAACCCTACCTAAGTAATAAAATATATCTAATTGTTAATCTCTCCCATTCCCCCATCTCCCCACTTGCAGGACTCACAGCCATGAAGATCCTTCTCCTCCTTACCTGCCTTGTGACACTGGCTCTCGGAAGGGAGGTATGCGCTGAAGAAAATACCTATGTGATTTAACACAGACAGGACAGTCTGCTTACTTCTAGAGAATGTCATTACCAATATGTTTTAGTGTACAACTCATGGAGAATTTCAGCAGGTTTTTTTCCTCCTATGAAAATTACTAATATTCACCCATTGTCTTGATAGTTTCCTGTACTCTTAAAACTGGGACGAAGGCTTTTTATGCCAATGTTCCTGCAGTTTCTAAATGCAAAGCAAACAAATCAGTAAGTAACAAAACCAGAAAAAGAGCAACAAGAGCACTGGCCCACATCTTACTTGTATCTACCCACACATATCCGGGAGATAGAGTAGAACAATAATCAAACCCATAAACATGAATATTCTTGAATAACTGTAGGAAGATTTGATATAAAGCAATGACTCTTCTGTCATTATCCACCAAAAACTATTCTCAATTCAGGTTATAGAGACATATACCAATTAAAATGTACTAAATAAAAAAAGATAATAGAAGAATCACTTTTCTAGTTTCTAAAAAGGCATACAACATTTTTAACTTTATTTTTCAAGTTTGGCAAAAGGTTATAAAAATTAAACATGAAATCAATAAAAAGTTAGGTGCAGATGCTAAAATGGCAGTTTTTTTCTTTACAGAAGGAAGAAGTCAGTGTATCTGCTGAGGTAAGATTGTTTTTGAGGAAATATTTCAACAGTAAAATAGTAAAATTTTCTCATATTAGAAGACTTAGTTAGTGACATATACATATATATATGTATTTATATATATATGTATATATATATATTTTTTTCTTTTACAGACTTCAGAAAGTCTTTCAAGCAGTGAGGTAAGACCACAACCTTTTAGAGGCAATTTCCCACTTTTAGAAAAATAAACTTTGGCTCTACCTTTCTATTATGTAAAATCATAGTAGTTAGATTTAAAGGAACTATCTTCTAACATTAGTTCTCATGAAAATTTTCATTATATATGTTTAAGGACAAAGTAAATGTAGGAGAATTTAGTATTCTCCAAGTTCGAAGTTGGCTCCATACTTAAAATTTTGCTTCTTTGTCTTCTAATATTTTTGAGTTATACAGTTCTGTTTTTTTGTCTTGGGTTCTTACTTATTCACTTTTGTTTTCCTGAGGTACTAGCGATTGAAAACAGGGCCTTTCCACTGAGCTACATTCCCAGCCATTGTTTTGTTGTTTGAGATAGGGTTTTATTAAGTTACCCCCACTTTGGTCAAGCTTTGGATTCTCCTTCCTCAGCTTCCCAGTGTGCTGAGGATTACATGTAACATATATAGAAGGCCTTCTGTGGACTAAACATTGACTGTAAACTATGATTTTGTTATTAAAGTAGTCACTTCAGTAAGTAAGCACCAGAGAGTTAGTATAGTCCTAATGTAGCTAGAAGAAGCAGGTAGATATTTATCCTTGTAACACTCTTTCTAAGTGTGTCATCATCAGTTTAGTAAATGACAATGTCCTTTCTCTCTTCACAAAGGCTATAAGATCTTTGAGGGAAGTGTTTACTTCTGAGAGTTTATTTGAGCACTAACACTTAGCAAATGAACAAAGAATCAATTATTAGTCTGCATCTTTTAATTTTTATTTTTATTAGTACATATTTGTCAAACATAATAATTCTATTCATCATAGGGAGTTGGTACATGTAAATAACACATCTTAATTCTTTTCCCCATTCTTTCCCCTGCTGTTTTCCTTTCTATCCATCTCTTAGTCTGTGTTTTCATATTTTTGCTGTTAGTTTTTAGAATCAGATGGGGTTTTAGAGATTATTTGGGTCAGAGAAAGGAGCAAGGAGTAGAGAGCAGTCAGCATCCATTAGATACCTCTTTTGTACTATGTACACAATTTTCTTGTTTCTTGACTGCATTCATCTGACTTTCATTTACACAAGGTTATACAGAATAGATATAATCAAATAGATGATAAATATGCAGTTATTAATGACATTATTGAATGATGGTATCCACATTAATCTATTAAATCCTTTCATTTTTAAAAATATGTTGAAAAATAAAAGTTATTGATTAAATCTAAATTTTATTTTATTTTTATTTGTCTGAAGGAATCTATTACACATATCAAGGTAAAAACTATATATATTAAATGTACATGTTTTCATTATTTCTGGTGTTTTATTTTTATAGATGACAATATCTTTTAATGTATGATTTGATTTTAGCAGAAACTTCAAAAGGTTAAACATGAGGAACAGCAGCAAAGGCAGGTAATTTGTTTATGATGAGTATGTTTCTAAAATTATTATGAAATATAGCATATACAAAAATACTTACAATGTTTATGTTCAGTCTAAAGAGTGGTAATAAGCCCATCATGACCCACCAACCAGTGTAAGAGATGAAAAAATTGGCAAAGTCCATATACTTGCTAAATCATAATTTTTTAAAATTAATAATTTCAGAATAGAGATGAAATAAATCGTATTGCTATTGCTGTTATCTGTTATTCATAAATACACACGACATAAACATGGTCACATTATGAACTATGCTTCTTTTATTCTCAAGGTGAATATGAAGGTGAAAGGGGAAAGAGAAGGAAGGCAATATGGCACAAACCCTAAACTGATTGGTTAAATTGGCCTTGAGATCCTTCGTACTTCATTTTCTTCATCTGTAAATTCAGACTGTTCTTAAGAACATCTGCCTCATATGGCTGATGAGCTGGCAGCCACTGAGTAATCTTATGTTATATGTCTTATGTTAACATTTATCATAATGTTCTAGAAAAATTGCCACTATACAGATGAGGAAAGGGAGGCCCGGACAATCAGTACACACTTCTGTGTGACCATGTTGCATAGTCATTAAGTAGTTTGCTTAGAAACCAAGGGTTTTTTCAAATAATATGAAATTATGCAATTAAATTACATTGATGGTCATACATTTATCTAACTGTAGTATTTCCATGTCTCATTTTATCAGTGGAAGTTTTGGTATTTGCCTAAAATACTTTCTAAGTCAAATTAAGATTTAAAAATAGATGCTTCTTTCAAGATTCAAGAAAACTCCTTTATACCAAGGAAAATAATGCTAGAACCTGGTCAGTATTAAGTGACTCCCTGAATTTAACCTCAAATTAAGACTGAATTGCCATTAAAGCAGAATAAATATAAATCTTAGAGCTGTCCCTGAAAGCCTTTTTAGATCGGTCTTCCTGAGTTCTGCGAAAACAGAATGGTTTATTATTGACATACTTAGGCCCCAAACTCAGTGTTCTCTGAAAACCAATATACATAGCTACCACCACTGAGGTGGCCCAGGAAAAGGTAAAACACAAAAAGTTCTTAAAAATTCCTGAACACTGATTTCAGTTTGCATTGTGGATTCATCTATAAAGTGAATGCTGTAAGGAGATCCCTATGGAGGCTAATGAGAGACTAACTCATTGTGAAGGAAGTTTGTGGCTTACTTGGGTCCTGCAAGAGCCTTTCCCTTCTTTTCAGCAGGAACGCCAGGACAAAGTCCTCCCCTTCGTTGTGCCAGTGCCCCAGGCTATGGTCTATGAGACCATGCCCTACCCTGTCCTCGCTCCAAACTTCCTGCCAGTAGCTCAGCCTCCCGTGGTGCCCGCTGTTGTTCCTGTCCTTCAACCTGAAATAATGGAAAACCTCAAGGCTCAGGAGACCTCCATCCCCAAAAGGAAGCCGATGCCCTTCCTGCCATCTCCAACACCGCTGCCCGACATTGGCCCTCAGATTCCAAACCAGCCCCTTCTCGTGCCTCAGCTCCAGCCGGCGGTGCACCAGGTCCCGCAGGTGATCCTGCAGCCTTTCCCTCAGGTGGCGCCTCTGGTTCCTGCGCAGCCGCAGCTGCTCTCTGTGGAGCCCACAGTTCCGCGCGCTCCCCAGCACGTGCAGCCCACCCAGGGGCTGCAGCTCTACCGGGCTCTGCAGCCTGTGACCGCACTGCACGCCCCTGCGACTCAGCCCCTCGCCCAGGACTATGCACACGTCATCGTAAGTCTGTGTTCATGTGCTTTGCACTCGGCTCGAGGCATGTACATGGTCGTAGAACAAGTGAGCTAGGGCTCTAGAATAAACAAATACAGATGTCATTCAGATCAGGGGCTCTCAATGCTACCACAGATGCACAGTAGAATTATGTGGAGGTCTCTTTCCCCCCAGATTCCTACAGGATTCTGATGGAAGCATTCTAAGCATGTAGAGGAAACCAAGTGTTGGGAAGAAGTGATTGCAGAGATTCTGATTTAAGTGGTCTGTGGAGATTCTGATTTAAAGAAAATCAAGTCTTATTAAAACCAGAATTGAATTTGGCCGTTTGACCGGCTTTAGAATAAAGAAGACTTCCTATTTTCTGGAGTTTTCAGTTTTCATAGTGCATGAGCTCCCCACACTATGTGCAGGAGAGCAAAAGAGGGAGATGCTGCCCCACTACTTTGGTCATTCTAGAGGAAGGCTTCTCGCCAAGACTTGAACTGTACCTTTATTTGTTTTGCATTTGTTTGTTTTTAAGGTCTAAGAGGATTTTGAAGTCAATGCTGCCACCTCATTTTTGGTAAGTCTGGGAATTTGGATATTAGATTGATCATTGTTATAATTTATCTTCATATATTTTATTTTTTCAAATAAACCCAAGATAATGACAAATGCCATCAATGTTTGAACTTATTAATTATCAACTTGTTCTTTAATGACTAATTATCTTACAAATGTGAAATTTATATTTCAAGGAACTTCTAATTTTATTTACATCTATTGATAGATTTGGTTGACTTACTTTCAAGGCCTATATATTTACATTTAATTATCATTTTTAGGAAAAACAGAAAACAGATTTTCTTTTACTTTTATATAGGTGTATTTGAGCTTTTGTTAAAGGCCAAGTTTCATTATTATTTCTAGCTTAGGTTTCATAATTTTTTATTTAATTCACTTAAAATCCTTTTAACTTATGAATCAGAATACAATTACTCATTCCAAGTGTAATGATTTTAAAGGAGCAGGCAAATAGCTTTGATATCCTGAGACTTTGTGATCACAGTAGATGAGATGTTTCATTAAAGCAACTACAAGTGAGCTGACATTTGATCTGATAGGAACTTTTATGACTACAAGGAAAGGTGTAACAGAAAGCATCCGTATTACAATTTCTTTTATTATATTAATCTTACCAAAATTACAAATAAGGATAGATGTATACTTGTATTATAACAACTAATTCTGTCTTTGCTCTCTATTCCACAGAATTGACTGAGACTGGAAATGTGGCATCTATTCTTTGTATCATATTACCAAAAATCACTTATTTTTAAGTGAATCTACATAAAAAATAAAACTTTATTCTTTTGTTAATTTTAGCTATTATATGGCATTCATTTAATTTGAATTTGACTGATGAACTCTTTACCTTTTCCAAATTGTAAATTCAGTATTTGAACTGGAAATACTCTAAACACATCAAAAATGTTATACACATTTCTGGAATTGGATTTGCTATTATTTCTTTAAGAACCTATTTCCTTTCTAGTCATTTCAATAAATTAATCCTTTAGGCATATTTAAGTTGTCTTGTTTTTAATTTTAATTTTCACAACCAATTGTACTCAGGTCTGAAAACTAATCAATATAGATTTATATCAAAATGCTAAAGAAGAAAGATCTAACAGTTTATACAGAAAAAAGATTAGGCAAAATTTAGCACCAATACACAATAAAAGCTTTGCAAATTAGAAATACAACTTCTTCACCCTCATAAAGAACATCTAGATAAACTCCTACATACTTAATAGTGAAATAGTAAAGACGTTTCTTCTGCGATGAAGAGCAAGGTGTCTGCAAGCAGCAAGGGTGTCTGTTCTCATGTACCTGTTGACAGAGTCAGCTTCAGCCAGTGTGAAAAGTCAAGAAATAGAAATATAAGGCATATCAATTTTTCTCTACTTGTAGACAAAAAGACCATCTTGGTGGAACATCCCAAAGAATCTGCGAAAATATTCTTGAACTGATAATGAGTTTAATAAGTTTGCAAGATAAACTATCAGCAACCAAAATTTTTTAAAAAACATGCCATTTATAACTACTCTCAAAATGAACAACTTTCATATAAATCTAACAAGTATAAGACCTAGATGTGAAATTAAGAAATGGCAATGGGAGAAGTAAAGAATATCTAAATAATTAGAGTAATGTCCTCTGTTTATAGGTTGAGAGATTTCAATATAAGAAGACATCAATTATTTCCAGATTAATCTCTCTAGGCTTGATGCAACTTAAGTTTCTGTAGACATAGGCAAGCTTATTCTAAAATTAACATGGAAAAGGAAAGGCCTTAGAATAGATAAAGCAATTTTGAAAAAGAAGAAAATAGAAAGAATTGTTCTTTCAAGGTTGAGGCCTTACTATGCAGCTACAGTAATGAAAATTGTGTGTTACATGTGAAACGCTAGATCCATAGACCAATGGAACTAATTGGAGAATCAAGAAATACACCTACACAAATATACTCAATAACATTTTGACAAAAATGGAAAAGCAGTTTGACAAGATGCTGACAATTTACTTTCTTAAAAACAAAATAATATACACAAGAAAAAATAGTTGAAATAGCTCAACCATTCATTCAAAATACTTTTAGAGAAATTTTTCTCTTAGAAAATGTGGACTGGATTATTATAACCAACACTTCTGGGGGAAGGAACTGAACAATATGGATTAAGTGTTTTTAAATATATAATTTGAAAGATATTGGAGAGTCAGTAAGGTATAAAATATTTGCAAGAAAAAACAATCAGGGAAGAAGAAAACTCATCAGAGCCACCAGAGCCCAACATTAATGTTTTTGTTAAAATCTAACTACTAGAGGAGAAAAGAAGAAGAGGCAGAGTGGTCTCTTGTAGGGCAGGCATATAAAAGTTTGTCTTGAGACCTGTCATGAATGAGCACCACCGGTAAAATTTCCAGAATATTTGTCAAGTCACTGAAGAAGTATAATTTTAACATTGTCACTGAAACTCAACTTTGAAATAACTCAAGTTTTACCAGGTTTCAGAGTGGTAGAGTCTCCTTCTAGAGGTGCTATCTAGGTTCTTCCTGTCCTGAGCAAAGAATTGGTCAAGACAAATGTAGAAGTTAGTGAGGTTTTACATTTATTAAAGGTATGAGAAGAAAAAAATATGCTGTACAGAGCAAGTGAGAGCCAACTAAAAGTGGAAAGATAAGTATGCTCCACAGGATGACAGCAGACCACTGTCATCCTGAAAGGATGAACACAGTGGCCAAGAGCTCAGTGGTACCCATCTTTTCTATCTCCCACTCCTCAGCCTTATGTCAGATCTATGCTGTGCTGTCAAAAAAATCTGCTAGAGTTCTCAGGAGAATTGAAGACAAAGCTCTCTGAGTGATTCCAGATGTAGGGCTTTGGGCACTGTTCTTTACATTTGTCCTTGAACTTTGTAATTAACAGGTCATGCCCACTTCCCTAGTCAGTTTGCCACACCCTAATCTTCTGCTTCATTTTCCCTGATAGACATAATTTCCTATAATTCTGTATGGGGTGCTGAAGGAGTAGATGTGTCTCTCTTTATGAGCTACTTCCTCTTTAAAGGAGTTGTAGGCTGTACTTACTGGGAATTATGTTCTTTCCAAATAGGGTGTTGTAGCTCACTGGATAGGTTGAAAAAATAAAAACCTATCAGAAGACAATAAGAAAGGAATTAGTATCTATATGTGAAAGGCTGTTGAGTTGGTTGTTTGATGGGAGAAATGTTGATGAATTTGTCAGGAGAGTAACTTTACTACAGTAATTCCCTGACTAATGAACAAGTTCCATTCAGGGAGAATTATTTGTAAGTTTCATTTGTACACAAACTGACAAAGTGAGTCTTATACAGTATGGCTGTGAAAGTTTGCCACTCAAATATTTGCAATTCAGGGACCTACTGTGTTAGGTTGGGCATATAGAGCCCTAGTATGAGAAGAAGCAGGTTGGATTTCCGTGCTTCCTGTGGATGAGAAACTATGGCAAAGAAGGATGTTAGATAGATCATCAGAAGACTGAGAGCCATTTTCTTGACAAGATTAGCAATATATAGATCTAATTAAAAATAGGAGTCTTATCCTGCCACTCCTAGTCCAGAGGAAGGGGCTTCTGAGCCACCATCCCACTGCTGCCTGCTCAGAGGAAGTGAACTGTGCCACCCCAACCCCCAGCCCCCCAGGTCAAAATGAGAAGACACATAAAGAAGTCTCAAAACCAGACTTCCAGATCACCTACAGTGACCACAAAGGGAAATGAGATGGAACACTCTGATATGCAACCACCTGGACTCCCTGAACTGGCAACAAAAGATCTGGAAAAAATGAAATCAGAAATAATTTCTCAGGTAACAGCAGAGATTGTGCCCATAATGCAAGACATGATTAATAAATCTAGAGAGGAGCTGAGGAACATGATGGAATCCCAAAAAAGGAAACAAATGGAATCCATAAAAGAGATGCAAACAGATTTCTAGGAAATCAAAAACTCCATTGAAAGTCTACACCACAGAATGAGCCAATGTGAGGACAGAATTTCAGATATAGAAGATAAAATTGCAATTAGTAACCAAGAAAAGAAAAATTGCTTCAAAATTGTAAGGGGCCATGAGAAATCAATCCAGCAGCTGCTAGACAATGCAAAGAAGAATAACATAAGACTGA